AGGTGCCTCCTCCAATCCAGCTGATGTGTCCGTTTGAGTGATGCTTTCCTGCCTCACTTATGAGTCCCTCGTCTGCTTGCTTTTGCAGATCTAAGCTCTGTTGTTCTTTCGAGGAAGCATAGCTTGAATGAATGGACTTCAAACTACCACCTCCAGACGGTTTGAAGTCATTTGGTCCCCAAGGAACGGACGGATGGTTCACCTTGACGCACAATAGGGATTTTCAGTTATCAACAGTCCCTCCCCCATACTGACACCCGAGTCGTGGAAACCTCTGGTAGACAGTCTCATCCACCACTTCGACCTTTATTTGGACGGCGAAGGCTCAAGCCACGTTCTTTAAGACAAGCTCTGGTATGGAACGCTGCGTGACCCTTTGTGCCCATAATGTCTTTCCAAAATGCGGCTTCTGCGGACCGGTGGCTTTGTGACGCAAAGACAGAGTTATACAGATCGATGGGACCGAGATGGGAGAGGGATTTGTCCTTCCTCAGCTTTGTCAAGTAACCGCAAAAGCCCCAGCAAGCACAGAGGGTGTCTGTTGACCTTCGAAAAAGGTGAGATATGACTGGTTGAAATCAGGCAAATGGGGAAAGGCGTCCATAGTATGAAAACCGCCGACATGCAAGGTTTGGGTTCGAACCACGGAACTTCCGGCAACAGCTACGCCTCAAGCGCTATCACGTGCAAAACAAGGTTGTGACTACCCTGTATCACCCTTCTTTTCCGATGACTTAAGACGACTATGCTCGAAAGTCCAGTTGCCCAACTTCGCTTACTACTGCTTCGATATGCAATCAATTGACAGTGGAACAGTTCGATTGGTCGTGAATATTGATCGCAACACATGGGTGAACGGTCATCAAAGTTGTTCGGGGGCTGTTGGTCCCGGTGATGAATTAAGCCCAGTCGGGTGATGATGTGTCATCGATTGGGGGCGAAACGTTTGCTAACTAACTGACAAGCTCAGATCAGCGGCACCGTTGATCCGGTCGTGTACCGTGTGCCACAAAACTGATCCAAAGCAGTCAGGTGATGTAACATCGCGATTGTGGATGCTATTGTCATCCAACTCAAACTTTGTGCACAGAAGATATTCGTTCAATCCATCAAAGCGAACTCGTTCAATGTTCTTCTCTCACCTGAAGAGTTCACACAACCAAGGCCAGTAGCTATGCACCGGATTACCTTATTCCAGAATAACAAAAATTTCCCTACCACCATGTACAGCTTATCACAACTGGTTCAATTTTATCGTTTTTGTATCCACCTATTCACCAACGTGAAAGTTCCAGCAATTCAAGCTTTTATAATGCGTTTATTTGGACTTTGCCTGAACAACGGTTCACAAATGAGACGGTCAGTTATAGAATCTATCCGCGAGCTTCCCAATACATTTGGATTGAACAAACGCGTGTAAAATTAAAGGCGGCTTCATAAAGGAAACTACTCACAAAGTTGCTGAAAATTCTTAGACACCCCACGACCGGTTTCGCCCTTCTTGGGGCTCATCCGGTAGGCGCGCAGTCCCCGAGTTTCCGTCAAAATTATGTTCTAATTGTGACCAAATTGATTCAGCAAACATCACAAACGAGAGGGTTTAAGGTGAGTCTCTCGCAAAACCAAATTAGTTTGCTTCAAGTAAATCATGAGGTTGACGGAAACTCGGGGACTGCGCGCCTAAATGACGAGCCCCCAGAAGGGCGAAACCGGTCGTGGGCTGTCGAAGAGTCTTCAGCAACCTTGTGAGTAGTTTCCTTTATGAAAATATGCTGCGATATCTCGAATATCGTGCCAACTGGATCATGAGGCGGCCTGTATGCAGCACATTCAGTTGTGGAATATCATAAACGAGAGATTCAGTCGAGTCTCTCGTGAAAACCACATTGATTCGCAAATGAGTGTATTTCTTGAAGGCGGTTTCTTTGAAGTTTACCAGAAAAGAAATACTTGACAACCAAGAGTGAGTGGTCCATGTTTGAAGAGTACAGATTAACCTCGTTGCGCACGCTGGAACTAAGCTCACTTTGTAGGGGACTGAGGTGATGTTTGGTAGAACGAGTTCAAAACCATCTACGGGACTAGGAGGATAGGCTATTTTAAGAAGAGACCACGACAGTCTCAGGTTGTTCATTACCCTCCCCCCAGCTTAGATTCCAAAAACGTACGTTGATTACGGGCCACGCCGGTTGAAAATTTTCGTCCTCCCAGGGGTTGATAGCTCCCAATTTGGACAGGACACAAACAGAGAAAACGGTCGCAAAATATTCTCACTTGGTTTTATTTCGTTATCACAGGTAATTCGTAAACAGTCATGTGTCTGCGCCATGCGAAAGAAAAGGAGTCAGTGCTCAAAACTAGGCAAGAAGTCAGTTGGTCTGCCGGTCGGTTCTCTGAGAGTACAAATCACAAGATCGCAGAGAATTAAAAACAGAAAAAAAGGAGAGGACAGGTGCTAGATTGTCGACTTGTAGATACAGCCAAACATGACCCAGGTGGCAGTTGCTTCTTCCGCATACGAATAGACTAGTACACACAAACCGAGGCGCACATCGATACCGTGGCAGGTGAGAATATCCCTGCACAGTCGAGAGCGGACGCTAGTTTGTAAGATGCGCTTGGGGTTCGTATGAAGAACCTAGACCGAAGAGCAGTGAATAGTGAAACAGCTTTAGTGCACCGATTCACATCATAAAATTGTGCGCGAAAAAGGCAGTGGATCGTCGTTAGCAAATATCCACATTATACTACTAACAATCTATAAGTAGCTAGGAAAAAATAAAATTCACTCCACGAGTGAAAATCGCACCGGAGAGTTCGTCACGCCAGCATCCAGTCAACATTTGAAACCAGGTAATGTGCGTTATCTAAGTGAAGGATGAGTGCCGCTCCATTTTTTCTTAGTGCAAATTAATCACAACGCTGATCAGCCGCTCGTGGCCGTACGGCCAAGTGTTCAGACTACTAGCCCAAAAGTGGCGGCTTCGAAACTCCCTCGGGTATCGTAAGACGCGCACTGCTCATTATCCCCCGATTAAGAAGAAACAACGGTTGAGGGCTCCCAAAAAATCTCCAAATCTTTCCACGCTACTGACAAAGAGAGAGTAGTCCCGATTTCACCGTCAAGATCGTGTGAAGCTGGGTCAACGTTTCTCAAGACGTTGAGTGAAAGATTCCACGAATGGACGTACGTTGGCCGGGTAAAAATTCCGGATATTGATTTGATGTTCCAGCATTTTAGAGACCATCCGTAGGGACCTAAATAAATCTACCACTGTTCATCTTGCAAGTGGAGCCATGCTGAAGAGTCAATAAAAACTACACAGTCATTTCATTCTTGTGAATCAGCGTGCACATTTCATGAGTCTTCAAAGAGAACTTTAAATATTCAAGCTGAAAACTGATACTAACTACTCTCATGAAACCGAGAAAAGACGATCGCTTCAGTGAACCCACTACGTGAACATGCAAGGCTTCATGCCGTGTAGCACCCGGCTCGAGAATTCACAGTTCCACAAAGTAGAAGAACGGTAGTCATCTGCTGAGGTTCATTCATAAGTACCCAGCTCTTTGGGGTTAACTTTTCGAAATTCATTAACCTCTGAAATATATGAGACCTGCATCTCCCTCTCTCCCCAGACAGCTCGAGAGTTCATTGGTCAGGGCGCGAACTTACTGACCGTGGTTCGAACCCGACAACTGCTCTTAACAAAGCTTCATCAACCCGGGAGTAACTCAGTGCTTCTTTCGGGTGGCATAACAGCTAGACACCGGTTGTGCGGTTGAACTGGTGACCATACTATATACATACTATATATATATATATATATATATGTACGAATACTGTGATTACTCTTGGTGCTGGTTGCGAAGACCCTGCGGTGACCGCGTTCTACCGAACATCTGTCTCACAGAAATGACAAATAGTATATACAAGTAGTATATATAGTATATATAGTAGTATATATGGTGTGTACAATGAAAAAACCGGCTCGGTGTTTTGTGCAAAGATTTCGTGCACAAACGGTTGAATTCACCGCGATTTAGTATGCAAGTGGGGTCATCAGCGAACTTTTTGAATCGATTTATTGGCGTTCGATTGGTGATTTCAATAAAATGTAGTAAAATGTGCTACGGAAAACATTTTGGCTTCATTCTTGTTTGTTACGAATTCATGAGATGATGAGCGCTAGAATGAAACTAGTAGCTAAAAAAGAGATGCGAAACTGTGTATTTATTTTCCATTGGTTTATTTATATCGGACCGACACATGACCTTCATCAGAGGCAGCAACATCAGTGCTAAAATTGGTGACTCGCAGCCGTACAACTGCAAGCTATACCTAATTATATTTAAAGGGGAAGACAAAAGAGTGGATGAGGGTGGGACCTGTCACTGGTCTACAATGGGGAATGAGGTACCTACACCTCCAATCGCTGAACCATACAGGTTGAAAAGAAACTGAAAACAGGAACGCCTTTGCCGCCAATCAGCCGCTGCTATATCTGCTGTTTCGTCAATCTGTGGTATCTGTTGCTGACCCACTCCAGTGCCTGGTGCCGGAGAAAAAAGACTCACACAAGGGAACACAACAGCCATTTTCCGAACAAGCGAGTGCGAGAGTGTGAGTGCGTGCGAGTGCGAATGTACAACGGTCTCAAGCTATTTATTGGAGGGACACTGTCTGAGCTTGATCCAATACTGACTCACACGGTCTGGCCTTGGGACGAGGCTGTGACGTGCTGCATATTGCGGGGGCGTTGTATGACCTTGATCGAAGCTGACTCACGCTGTATGGGTTTGATATAAGGCTGTGACGCGCTGCATATTGAGGGGGTGTTGTCTGTCTGGTCAACATCCAGCGGAGCTGAGAGTCTCGGTAGATTTCGGGCATTCACTGGTTGCTTTCAGGAAGCCGACCTTCCTGATAACCACCACTTCAGGCAGTGTCTCCAGTCAAGCGCAGGAGGGGTCATGAAGACCCAACCCGGAATACCTACGACATCCAAACTCTTCGTAATCTTTTCCGCGACGTAGTACATTGTCCACCTTGTGGTTTGTGCCATCCTGAACGAGGCACTGAGAACAACACTCGTCTCGGTAGACGGTGCTTCGGCATGCGTAGCACATGACCGAGCCATCGTAGTCGATGGTGCTGGACGTTTTCCGCGATTGACCTACCTGCTGCCCACGCAAATACCTGTTTTCTAATTGCCTCTTTACGAATTCATTGACGCCATCCGACACCAGCAACGCTTCTGGGACATGGGTTGTCAAAAACCTGAAGACGCCTCACATCATCTTTTCATACAACAACACAGCCCTTGTTGTAGGCACGTACACGGAGCAAATCGATGCCCGGATCTCTCCAATCCAAAAACATGTGCATTCGCATTTCCGCAAAGGTCACTGTTGATGGCATTCAAAAGGGTCTCTTCAGTCTATATAATCGCGAAACACTGAGACACTCCTTCAGTCGGCGACGAATTCCGTCAGCTACTGGAATGGTTCACAGTCTGGCTCACTAGCAGAGGCGAGATTATAGTTCAGGGGGTTCTTTTATCGAGGTAACTACTTCTTATCTCGACGTCCCACATTCAGTTGCCTGAGAACAGCATAAGCGAGAGATTCAGCTGGGTTCTAGGTGAGTCTCTCGAAAGAACCAAAGTAGTTTGCAAATGACTGTATATTCGCTGAATTCATGCAAATATTTGGTTGCAAATTGAGCCGGTGTTAATGGGAGACTCAACTGGATCTCTCTTTTATGACCAGTGTCTCATCAAGAATGATCCGATGTAGCGCAGGATACTTTAGAAAACGAAACCTGTACCAAACAAGTGTAAGAAAAAGCTGAATTTTAAGTTCAGTTCTTGTTTATTGCACCTCTACGCCGACCTGGTTGGTTCAGCTAAGGACAGAAGCGTTCGTAGGACCCAGTTTTGCGGGATCACGTTGTATGAAGCTTTTCTCGAGAGATCTTCACCTGATCATGCTTTGGGCCTTAAACTAGACGATAGCCCTTTGCGAGGCCGATTCTATATTATCTCACAAGTGGTTCCAATAAAAACGAAACGGATGTACAGTAGTTCTCCAAATTTCAACCGAAATTGCAGCTGACAAGATCCAAGACGCCACTTAACTACTCACAAAAAGAAAGTAGTAGGATAAAAGCGGTGAAAAATTAACAAGCTCCCTATCGAAACACTACGCATAATTAGCCCTACCTGGATAGGATAAGCTTTGAACGTGTAACCCTCAGGGACGTAGTTATGGATCGCTGCCATGTTCAACCGGGCTTCGAGTTGACACGTGGTAGAGGAAGACATCTCAGCCTCGAGAGCCATACACGCAAGTAGATGATCAGCTTCAAACCCAGCCAGGACTGGGGACATCATTCGACATAATTCTTCGTCCCACGTCCATGTGTTTGGCGACTCATGATGAAGACGGGCCATACGCCAGTTGGTTACCAACGTACGTAGTTCACGTACAATACGATCACCCAATTCGGCGGTATTCGAAACGGGGCCACGTAGAGTTTCCGGAACCAGGTTCGAATAGGTGGTAACTGAAGATATCACATCTGAAGGGAGGGGATACCAGTGGGATGAATCCTAGGGGGGGGGGGGGGGTAAAACAAATGAAGTTAGGAAGTTCATATGAATTTGAGTTACAGTCAAATGATCCATGCTTGTTGGAGTGTGGCTCAACGTTCAAGAATTCTAAACATGACAGGAGAAACGAGCAACTTTAGTAGAGTTCAGGTTTGTGAAAATGTCAAAACTTCGGCGCTCCAATCATATTTCTTGATTCGCGGTCACAATGTGCTGCGCAGATTCTCAGCGTTACTGACGAGTAACCGGTAAGTAAACGGAAACGAAGCAGCGCAAAGCAGACGAGTACGTGATCAAAAAAGGACAAAAAACAGCGAAAATTCACTTACCGAGATCCGTAATGAGCAGCTTGCCAAATCATTTGACGGCTGTATGTTCGCATAGAACGAGTTATGATTGTACACACAATCTACTGTTTTATACAAATTGGTATTGAGGTCCCCACAGCTAGAATCCACGGTTTGAACGTGTCGCCGACCGGATACAGCATCCCAAAACAAGACAACCGAAGAATCAACCTGGCGTAGAGGAGAAGAGCGAACGGAGGACGATTCAATGCATGCCTTGGTGGTTGAATGATATGGCATTATACTTGATACTACTTACTTCTACCTTATACTACTAATATGATGTCTAACCAAAATGAGACCGTTTCCGAAAATGAGAACAACAGGCGCATTAGGGACTGCAGCATAGAAGACACCAGCAAGAATAACACACATTACAAAGCCCAGGAGGCATCCTGGTGCAATCGAGGGCGCATCATTCAACGACGCGAATTCGTACGAACTGATGGCTCTTCCACAGAGCCCCGTGTTCGGAGATAGACTGGATCGTCTTGCTTGTTGACCATGTCGCTTTGAACACAGCCTTGAGCCGGGTTGATGGTTGAGTGCCTCAAAATAGTTGGTGAACTCGGAACAAAAGATCCCCACCTGGAGTAGCTCAAGCCTAGTTTAGCATGGTACTGAAAACACAAGCCAACTGACACAGATGAACACTTGAAGTTATAACAATCAGGGGATCCCATCCAATGGAAGAACCAGCTCCGAAAGTAATTGGACTACACAACTGCCAATGTAATAACCGTTTTCGTTGAGACAAATTTAACTGGTTGTTTTCTTTTCATAAGGGGAACTACTTACAAGGTTGCTGAAAACTCCTCGACAGCCCACAACCGGTTTCGCCCTTCTTGGGGCTCATCAGGTAGGCGCGCAGTCCCCGAGTTTCCGTCAAACTCATGTTCTACGTGAATATATGAAAATATACTGCAATATCTCGAATATCGTGCCAACTGAATCATGAGGCGGACTGTTTGCAGCACATTCAGTTGTAGAAGATCATAAACGAGAGATTTAGTTGGGTCTCTCGTGAAAACCAAATTGATTTGCTAATGGGTGTATTTCCCCAAAGCAAGTCCAGTGTGAAAACAAGTAGATCATAAAGTTGACGGAAACTCGATGACTGCACCTACCTGATGCGCCCCAAGAATGGCGAAACCGGTCGTTGGCTATCGAAGAGTTTTCAGCAACCTTGTGAGTAGTTTCCTTTATGAAAATATATTGCGAATATCGTGCCAACTGAATCGTGAGGTGGCCTGTGTGTGGCGCATTCGGTTGTAGAATATCATCAACGAGAGACTCAGTTGAGTCTCTCATGAAAACCAAATTGATTTGCAAATGAATGTATTTCTTAAGTGGTGGTTCTTCACTTTCCCCTGACAGATGAGTTCTGTTTTTAGCATCACTTTTTAGCACGCCTAGAACTTTCCATGAGAGCTTTGTGGACAGTCCGTTTTCGCTGAACCTGACACGCTTGTACGCGTCAGTTTTCAAGAGATAAATCAGCTGATTCACACATCCATTAGCCTTTTGGTTTAGCTAAACGCACCGGGTCTATCAAGTGGCTAAGTAGACCCGGGTTCTTGGCGTTTAGGAGACATTAAGAAAACTATGGTCCAAAGCATCAGCGTGTACTCCATTCCTCAGCCCCAATGAAAGCTTGAAGCACATGAGAAGAGATGAGGACAGAATGCAAAGTGTGCAAAAAAAAACAGATGTTCTACGGGAGGCAAACTGTCTACTCCACAGATGTTCAGTTAACCACGTGAACTCACATTAAAAACGGCAACCCAAATATACGACTTAGCTGATGTGCTGCCATTGAGATCCGCACTGTCTGCCCCAGAATCACAGGAGCGCCGCGTTCCAATCATTACGTAGGCATCCAATCCGAAACCGAGGAGGAGAGAACACAGGAGGTTCGCATGATCCGCGACGTCTCCTCGGTTTCTTGCCAAAAAAGCAAGCGCTGAAGGTAGAAAACGGTTAGGCGGAATGGGGACTATGCTGGAGTTCATACGACTCATGAAATCAAATGATTACATTCGTATACCCAATCCGACTGGGTCCTAATTGAATTTTGGGCCGACTGCCCGCACTCAGTGTACAGCAAGTGACCAAAACGTTCGAACTTTACTACCTACTGAACTATAGGAAGTAGTAAAATTTAAAACAGATTTAACACGGAATCGACATCGATGAGGCGCTGAGAGACTCATGCTGAAATCGGAAACAGTTGGGCTTTCATGGAAAGTTAAAACTCAAGAAAGAAAACTAATCAAAGGAGGTTCTTCTTTTATGAACAGGTGTCCGAAAGGAGTATGTAGCCTGAATACGATTGGCACATTTGGGTCTTCCGTTGATGCAACTACTCTTGTGTTGGTTTCGGATGAGGCGAAAGTAAGCGTTCGTCAGCGGACCTATTTCGTGTTGGTGGCAGTCAACACTCGTCTGACAGACATGTGGAACGGAAAACCAGGAGAGAGTAAAACAGCAAGATGAAACGGATGGAAAAACAGACCAAACTTGAAACGAAGTAAGAGGATGGGATAAGTAGATCAAAGCAAACCTTCCAGCTGTGTATTGTCAGTTATGTATGTCATGGTTGTACGAGAGCTGGGATACTAAGAGGGCGCCCACACCTAGGCACGAGGACGATTAGGGTCCTGAACTAAAGCCTTTGGCTAAAAGCCTAACAGCAAAGCAGGAAATGCAAGTACATTAACATTTTTACGGAACACGTCCCAACCTGGAGGGCCATGAGACTGTGTTCGTTAGACCTCTACCCATGGACCAACCTGGTATGAGAAACTCTGTTGGTGTCGCGCGGACATCCCCCACCCCAGTATAGCTCGATGGGTCGCCACACCATGGTAAGCTTCAGTCTCTTCGTGACGGCTTCCAGCTGTGATGCCAAACGATATGAGGGAAGCGCGATGGCTGAAATAGTCAACCTGTACGAGTCTGGCTAGGATCGCAGATAGAGAGATCACAGTACCAATCAGCTATAGTGATCACAAGTCCTCGTATGGTGGGTGTGGGTTGCAGCTCTTCACAGATGACAGACAGAGAAGGCGTTCTAACTGTTGGTATTCTGTTGATAAGCGTATGTTCATATCGTAGGACGAATAATAAAAGAGGACCTCGGGCGCAAATGCTGGAGACATGCAGACAATTGTTCACTAGAGGGGCTTATAAAGTAGACTCAGAATCGCCAATTATCCGAAGATTGTAGGTCATCTGGACACGACGTTGAAATCTCAGACGAGGTGTGCTAAATTGACCAAAAGCCAACGACGCACACTATTTATGAGTAGTTCACAAGTCTGTGTGGTGAGAACTTCCGAACAAATAATATAGAGAAAAAAGCCGCTATTCATAAAGTTGGGTGTTCAACATCTCCTGGAGGGATGTGTTATGAGCCGGCTACGGAACATACGGAAGCATGCACTGATTGGTCGGAATGTGAGCCAATTAGGATCGAGCACTTTTATCTCGGTGCTCGTCGCATCCTCAGCAACATTCTAGCGCGACTTTGTGGAATGCAATTGAAACAATTTTTCCATAGAGGCTGTTTCGGGCTACCAGGCCCCTGGAAGTACCATAGCGGAACATAAAATCAAGGACTGAGATAGGAACTGAAATACCGTCTGCAATCCACAACAAGGTTGTGCGGTGTGTGCAAAATTGATCGACTACTTCCGGCATTGTTGAGCTAAAGTATATACAAACACATGAAAGCAGAACCCATGGATTAGTAGTTGTTTGATCCCCACGTTCAACCTGGATCCCTTCGGCCTTGTGGACTCCCTCCCTGGAGAAGCGGATTATCCTGCAACCAAAAGCGTCCGTTTGTGCTCCTGGTGAAAACTCGCCTGTGATAAGGAGATGAGTTGTATTCATCTATTCCAAATAAGCTCAGGACAGCTCAGTGGTCAATGATCGGAAGGTCCGTGGTTCGAACCCAACTCCGGTATCTCGACTGTTCCAATTTAGGCCTGGGCAACCTGACAGTATTTTAGCCCTCGTGCTTCCTTCGATTAGCATGGCAAGTAAGCACCTAATCGGTGTTACAGCTGAACGATCCTCATCGATCACTCACGATACCTGAGGTCACTCAAGCAGGGGCCGCTTTCCCGTAGGGTAAATAACAGCATTTCATCTCCGCCGCGACTACTTAAAACTCGTGAAGTTATCCAACTACTACTTACCGGTATCTTCTTCGTGATGATAGTAATATGCTATTGAACTTACCGAGTTTCTGAGGTTAGAAAATAATACACTGATTATGGAAAATAATCACGCGTGGGAGAATAGAATGTGCCCAACTATTCAGGTGAGTTAGCCAGTAATCTCTTCAAGACAGGGTTCCAAAGACAGACACAATACCATTTCATATCAATCACGATTGGGCATAAAAGCACGGGTTTTCCATACCCCTCAGAGAGATCAAAAAGCCTCCTCTCCCTCTCTGTGAAGTCTTCTCTTCCGGAATTAAGACAATGACTGAGAACACTGGTGGTCGGTGTGTAAAAACAAAAAAGTCAACATTTCATTAGAGCACAGTGCTCTGTGATCATAGCAACATCAAAATTGTTACCGATACCTTGCAGGGAGAGGTTGATTTTACAAAGTCATAGAGTGGAGAGGATAGAACGGAGAGAAAATAACTCAGTTGTAGCACCCTTTCGGTGTCTAGCTGCCATGCTGAGATACTGCCAGGTTTCCCAAGTCTAGACGAGCAGTTGAGAGGTCGGGGTTGGGTTCGAACCACGGGACTCCGGGTCACTAAGTTCGCACCTTAATGAGTGAGCGATTTCCTGTTCGGAGGGGAAGGTCAGTAGTGTATTTCCCAGGTACACCTCCTCCAAAAATTCAGACGATACGGATAGAAACTCACTGCCATCGACGTCGTTTAGCAGTCGGATGCGTACAAGAAAGTGTACGCTGTCATAACTTGTTTTTTTGCCAAGTGGTACTTTTCCAACTTTTGTGTCACGTGAATTCGATATGATAGGATCATCTTCCTTTGGGGGGAGGAAGGCCAAACTGGGTTACTCATCAAAAAGACTGTTCGAACGCGTAATTTCAATTGTCTGCTCAAATATTTATTCAGTTTGACTAACGAAAGCGTCCTTAAACCGAATTTGTTAGTTGTCCCTTCTGAAGGAGTAGTGATCTGTCCGGAGGACCGAACAGCACGTCAGTTGGATGGATGTGTCACGTGCGGGTGACGGACCAAAAGAGGGCACTCCCTGATTGGTTAGAATGCCAGGCAATCCGTATTGAGCATCTTTAACTCGATGCTTCTCGCCCCCTCACGGAGATTCTTGCGCGATATTCGGGGACATTCTGTCATTGCTTCACAAATACAATTGTAATCATCTTCCGTTGTCTCCATAAACGGCTATTTGAAGCTACCGCGCCTTTTGATATACCATAGTGGGCGGAGCAGGACCAATACAGAGTTGCACGTTCAGCAAGTCACAACATATTCACAACAGAATGGGCTGAAAACTAAGCAAATCAGACTCACTGGAACACCACTGCTCCCGCGGACCACCGCCGACACCTCGACACGGTTCACATGGAATGGTGGAGACAAACCGCGCGGCCTCTGTGGGAGTCCTGACGAAACGCTGAGCATTCAGAGGACGTACAAATTTGCACACGAATCTAAAATGACAGAAGAGACAGTAATTACGAGATAAGTTTTAAAAAAATCGATTCTAAGTCGTACACATGACTACGCCTACTAAGGAACTCACTACACAAGCAATCTCCTTTCTGAAGCGACCACTTTTGGTTAAGTTCTTCTGAAGAGACAGACAGGATTGTCACACAGTTCTGAAAGCAAAATCCAAGATGAAATGGTTCTCATCGAACCACTTATATCGTTCCGTCTCTTTAGCTAAAGGCATGTCGTATTTTGGATATCGGATTAGAACCTCTTTTCCGAACGGTCAATTTCGAGGGATCCGGCTGGAAACCAAATCACCGGCGATCCATTATGGAGTAGTTAGTTTTGGTTTAAAAAAGATGCAGTTAACTTAGGGCCACCGAAAGGGGATTTGTACTTACTGATTCGTGGAATTCTCATCCACAGCAAACAGTTTGATGAGCCGTCTGGAAATCAGTCCTTCTCGAATGCGCGTCAGTTCTTGCCACCATTGACGGACATAGAGGGTGAAATTCTGTTCGCGTTGCGAAGCCCTGGCGGACTCGAGAGCGAATTGAACATCAACAACCTGGGGTGGAAGGGGAGGGGGAGGTGTCCGCTTTGGTCCTCTGGACGGAGACGGCTGTGTGTCAGGAAGCCTGTCGGGCAAATTCCAAACAATACTGAGCCGCAAATCCAGAATACCGGCCGTCATCTGGGGAGAAAAATAAACTGAATCCAATTTTGAATGAAACTCTTTGAAAGCTCGTTGGTTTGACGAGTGTCCTTCAGCGCTGATAGGTTTACTTTCGTTCTTGGGAGATGCCAGGTCTCAAGAAGGCTCAGTGGTTTAGGTGCGAACTTACTGACTGGAAGGTTTGGGGTTCGAACCCAACCCTGTCATGACAACTGCTCCTGTCTAGCCTCAAGCAATCTGGTACTTCCTTGCGAAGACATGAAAGCTATTCATCAAAAGTGCTACAGCTGAGAGACCTGAAAGATAGGTCTTGCGGAGACACGGATATACAACAAGAATGTGGCATACAGCTAGTTGAGCTGATCGAAATACAAACGTTTGATTCGTCATCAACTCGCTATTAATCACGCTGTTCTCTCCAAAACATTTCCATTCTGTCCCATTCTTTTTATCTAGCTGATCGCGTGTACTTAAATGGAAGGTGTTCCGGCAACATGTGAGGCAGACACAGAGAAGAAAGTCCCAAAGTCCAAATGCTTGATAATCGTAAGGATAAAGGAAAATCCAAGAAATCTAATCAATGGTTCACCTTCGATGCACTTTCGTTTTCTTT